TGGGAAAGAGAAAGCCTGCGAGGGAGGCTGACGCAAGGGAAGAAGGCTGCCCTCCCCCCTGCCCCCCATGAGAATGCAGATGTGGTCCCTGCACTGGGTGCTCCAGAAGGGCACAGGAGAAGGCTCCGGTGATTGGCCTGGCAGCTGCCTGCTCAGAAAAAGCAGCTCTTGCTCTCTGCAAGGGGCACGAAGGGTAGGAGCATTTCCAGGTCACACAGAGTCCCCTGGGTGATGGGACTGTTCAATAGAGCAGCAGGGAGGGACAGTAAAGCCACCCTCAGTCAGCAGGTGGAGCAGCCCAATTCTGGGGCAGGGGACACTGGACAGATCCTTTTCCTTTTTTTTTTTTTTTTTTTTTGGCGGAACCGGGGATTGAACTCAGGCCCTTGTGCTTGCCAGGGAAGCACTTATTCTACTGAGCCATCTCCCTGGCCCCTCCTTTATTCTTAAGACTTGTGTTTTCTGTTTGATATTTGCTCCTCTCTCCCTGCCCCACCCCTGAACTATTTTGTGTCTGTTTCTTCATGGAGCTGGAGCTGGCACGTAACAATGTGCTCACAGGAAAGCAAGTTTGCCGTGTAGGGATCTACCCACCCAAGATGGAAGCCATCTGTCCTACGGGCGTTCTCCACGTCCACTGCCACCTATGACCTACTCTGAGGTCTCTCGTAGCTTCTACAGCAGAAGGAGCTGAGGCAGGGAAAGAGGAGAAGAGGGTAGAAGAGTTGTTTCAGAGGAGCTTAAAAGAGGGAGGGAGGTAGAAAGGACACTATCAGCAAACTGCAGTACCTCGCGCTACCTTGCTTCTGGACTTCTTAGGAGGTGGCACTTTGTAAATGTCTGAAGAATGCTTCTGAATTTATAGGTCAATTTAGCAAAAACTTTTAAAGATATGTTCATTATAGTAAGATCTCCCTAAAAAGAGAATCTTGCTCTTAAAGAGAAAAAAGAAAAAAAAAAAAAAAAAAAAAAGCAAAACTGAAAGCAAAGGATAATAAATAAGGCCACACTTTGAATGTATGCTGTATTCTGGGCTTTCCGTGGAAGTTTCCAGAAAACAGCTCCAGACAAAAATGTCTGTTGGCTCTGACCCCTTGCATCCAAGATAAGAGACTCCTAGAACTGAAATTCTTTTAACCAGACTTTAGGAGCCAAGCAGCCCAAGCCTGGGGTTTATACCTATTTTTAATGCTCATAATTAAGGGGGGGAACTGAGGCTCAAAGAAATTGGGAGACTTGCCCGAGGTGCCCCAGCAGGTAAGTTCCAGAACCAGGAGCAGATCCAGGGAGCCCTCCTCAGTAGGCCATGTGCTCCGCGCACACCTGCAACCCCACTGCAGGCTGCCCAGAGGTGTGGGGTTTACCACTATGAAGGAATGGCAGAGAGGACAGCAGCATGCAACATGGGAAGTTGCAGCCCACAGAGCCTGCAGCACCTGCCCAAAATATGAGGGAATCAGAGACACAGCCACACTGGATGCAGCCAGCTCTGGAAGAGCGCCTCTTCCCCATCGCCACCGTGCGCCTGCTCTGCTTCTCAAAGCCTTCTTGGGTGTCTGGTGGGACCTAAAGTGAAACCACATCCAGAGAGACGCTAGCAGGACTCTGGTGCTTAGTGAGCCTTAAATTAGAACCCCACAGGAGCACTGAGTCCCCATGGGCAGATCCTTGTGGGAGTGCCCGGTTTCCTGGAGCAGGTTGATAGGAACTCCTCCTCCCCATAGCATGTGTCCACAGCCATCACTGGGACTAACTTATTTGGGCAAAGGGTCCTTGCGGATGCGATTAAGCTGAGAATCTTGAGATGAGGTCATCCTGGATGATCAGGGTGGGCCCTGAGTGTGGTGACATTCACACCTCTATGAGAAAGGAAAGCAGACATCAGAGGAGACAACACAGAGAAAGTGGCAAGAGAGAGTGGGGTGGACCAGAGTGAACAGACCTGCCCCAGCCAGGGAGGCCCCTCCCCAGCCCTTCAGGGGCGTCACAGCCCTGTTGACCCCTTAATTTCACTCCTGTGGACTCTGGAATGCAGAGAGCCAGATTTCTGCTGCTTCAAAGCACCGCCATTATAGCAGATGCTTTTATAATCTATACGGATGGGAGAATATACAGTGAAGGGTCGCGGGTTCACAATAAATTCACAACGGAACGGTTCACCAACTACAGGCCAGAGAACACAGCAGTGTGGAGATCAGCTCTTCTTACGCCCAGTGACCAAACCCAGCTGACTCATGAGTAGTCACGCGTCTCGCGCTGACCCACGGGACACTGTTCTGGATCACACAGCCAGCTGAGGGCCAAGGCACCTGGGCGGACCCCGAGTCCGAGGCCCAGCGTGTGCAAACCGCTCCCAGATGGCCCAACTGGGACAGCCCTGCGTGGAAAGTCGCCAAGCCCTGAACCCCTCAAGTGGCTTCTCTGAAGCCTGAAGCTGGAAGCCAACTTTGGAGGAGGCCTGTGTGGCCCTAGTGAACACCAAGCTGGTTGGGGCTCGAGGGAGAAAACAGAGTAAGCTGATGTTTCTTCACTAAGGCATGTTCTTGGACACAGCTCTGCTTTAGATATTTCTTGCTACAGCTGTTGAACTAAGTCGGAAGAAAACAGCAGCACACAGACACACACATCCAGGCCTCAGCACCCCAGGTCTCTTTGGGTAACACACTTCTAGGTTTTGATCTGTACCTTGTGTGAACACAGCAACCTCAAATTCAGGAGCTGTGCCCTGCTTAAACATTTGGGAACTGGGGCTAGTGTTTTGTTATTGTTCTAAAATGAAATTTTCTGTTCACTATGGGAACGCCAAGGGAAATTCTGTTGGGCTCAGTCAGGACCCCTGAGTGGGCTGTCTGGGGCTCTGCATGAGGGGTAAGGGGAAGATTTAGGTGACAGGCAAAGGAACATCAAGCCACACACTTCAAGCACTGTGACGTGACCACTCAGACTTCACCTCCTCTTCGGTGGGTCACATCCCCAAGAGCTTTCCTGGAGACACGTTTCTCTGAGCCAGAACCCCAGCCTTGAAGTGTCCCTGAGCTCCAATTAAACCTCACTGGAAAGGCCCAAGGACTCCTGCCCCCTAACACCATGCAGGATCTCTGGCTGGTGCCATACACTGCCCTGAGAACCCGCTGGCTTAGTCACCAGAGGAGAGCAGGACTCATATTAGTTCTCCCCACAAAAAGAGCCACGGGTTCCTCACCCATCTCCCTCTTTGCACCCTCATCTGCTTCCAGTGCTTTAAACAAACTCCAGGTGAAAGCCACATGGCCTAAATTAACCACTGCCAAGTGAACGATGCAGTGGGACTTAGTACATTCTCCATGCTGTGCGACAAGCTCTTCTCTCTGGTTCCAAAGTATTTTCATCACCCCAAAAGGAAACCCTGAATCCATTAAGCTTTCTCCGTTTCCCTTTCTCCCTAGCCAGGTGCAGCCGTTCTGTGGGTTTACCTATACAAGCAGAACCATATAACCTATGCTTGAAGTCTGAGTACTCGCACCCCAACTGCTCCCCAAATGCAACGCTTGGTGCTCCCCCAGCTGTCACTGGCCTCCTGTACTTGGCCCACATTGTGACAAGCATCTTGCACATGTTCCCTTGTGTGGCTGCACCACATTTTTCTTCTCCATGCACCCGTGTCTGGGCCTGGGTAGCCTCTGTCCTTCATGGTTGGGACCTGTGCTGCACTGCTGGGAACACGCGGATACACGCAGCTGAAGCACTCCCCTCAGTCTCGGCCCAGCAGCCTGATCTCATCCCATGGCAGGTCCTCTACCTCACCTAGATGGGTGCCCACCCCTTAGGACAAAGCCCAGCCCACAGAACGTGACCTGAAGGCCCCTCCCCAATTCTCCAGCATTGCCTTTCACGCCATCCTGCTGCCCAGGCCACATTCTGTTCTTGAGAGGGCTGCATGTGTCTGCCACTGAGCCTCCGCAGGGGCTCCTCCTCCCCCTTCCAGAACCTTCTTCCCCTGGCTAAGTGGCAGCTGCATCTGACCACAGCCATTTCTTGAATTTCCACAGTCACACACACTAGACCCAGCACCAGGCTAACCACTAGCCTGAGTTTGATGGGAAGGGTGCGATTTGGGAGGCTGCACTGCCCTTCTTTGTGAGATCCCATAGGAGTGGACAGAGCACCTTAGGGACCTCCTGGATATAAACAGCCCATGTCCCTGAAACACACCCTCCTTGAAAAATGTGGACATGGCCCTGTGGATCTATGTCCTGGTGCCAGAGGACTGATATGACAGCCCCACGGCAGGCACTGTCTGGCGTAGCACCGTCACGCCGGCTACTGGCCCAGCCCTGCTCCGCACACACGCTCCACCCTGGAACGTGGGAGGCGTCTTTACTTTTTCCCCAGACTTGGTCGACACCCCACTGGCCTGGGAGAAGTGAGCCAATGACTCCTCTGAGCTCTGGCCCTGGAATCTGGTGTGACAGCCTCATCCCAAGGAGTCAGAGGCAGGGGCTGCTGAGAAAGCAGGGATTCTGACTCATGGTGGCCACACCTGAGCTGCATAGGCTCCTGCCTGGCCCCGGATGCAGCTTGCCTTGGGTCACACAGGATGTGGTTTCAAAGGGTGAGGATGTCTCCGCCTCTACCTTTCGCCCATTTTTCCCCTTTCTTAGCTCTGGTTCTGAGCTTCTGCTCCCCGGGTCTGTAGCCACCACACACATAGGCTTGACATAGGCTTGACCCTAGGCCTACACATGTATGGACATACGCACACGTATACACCCTCTTCTGACTTCTAAAAGTAAAAATAGTCTAGCTGATTCCCAGCATAGCCTTTGTCTTCTTTCCCTTCAAATTCTCCACCATTCCAGTTTGCACAAGAGCACTGGGTAGAAGTCACTTCTGAAGGCAGTAGAGCTCACAAGCTCCCTGGGAACATCTGCAGTCTTTTCTTCCTCCACAGGCGACAGGCCCCCTCTTGTGCATTCCTGAGGAAGATGACTTTGTGGCTTGGGGAAGCATCATTCACTTACCTCTAGGACTTTCCCTGTGATAAACTGGTGACAGGCCTCACACTTCACCCCGAAGAGCCCCTGGTAGTCCTTTTCACAGTATGGGGCGCCGTCCCTACAAGACAAAATAGCCGCTCCTGAGAAGCGGCAGAGCAATGGGGGAAGACCCCAGAACTGTGTTTCTCTGGGCCCTTTGCCACAGAAGAGGAGAGTTTCTTTCTCCTTTCCCCAGCATCCAAATGCCTGGTGACATGGTCAGACGCAATCAAAACCACAGACCACAGGGACAGCCCAAGTGAGAGGGTCCTGCAGCCACAGAGAGCAGCCCAATAGTCACCTGGTTACCACTGTGGGCTCCTCAGTGGCCTCAGAGCTAGCTACTAGAAGGGCCAGCACCAGTCCCTCTCAGGGTGGGCCAGCTTGGCTCAGATGTGGGCTCGGTGTTCACCTAGCCAAGGGGCCTCGGGGGCCTCTCTTTCATACCCTCTTTGTGGACTAGACTGCCGGGCCTAACAGAGCCTCCTAGAAGCCTCCCGCTGTCGTCTCTTCAGCTCTCCCTAGCTCTGACATCCCAGCATCCTCTCTGGCTCGGTGACCTCCATTTACTTCAGAGCACATAAAAAGTGTCCTTTCCCACGTTATAGCATGGAAAAGTGAGTAAGCAGCTGCCTAGACAGCCAAGACGCCTTCGTGTTCTTCTTTTTTAAAAAAAATTTTATTTATTTATTTAGTGTGTGTGGCCAGCTCAGCCCACCAGGGGGCGGGGCTGGCTGGCATGTGGTGCTGGGGGATTGAACTGCGGTCCCTGTGCTTTGCTTGGCTTAGTTTGTTCTAAGTAGGTGCTTTAGACCACTGAGCCATCTCACCAGCCCGCCTTTGTGTTCTTCTAACATAGGCTTGACCCTAGGCCTACCACGAAATTAGATTTTGAGGCTGTGGAAGCCAAGATGCTTTTTGGCTTGTTTCTCTATATGTTTAAATCAAATTCATTAAACCAGGAAGAGCAAATAAAAAATGAAGTGTAAAATCACATTAAATTCATTTTTTTTTTTTTTTTTTTTTTTTTTTTTTTTTTTACGGAACCAGGGATTGAACTCAGACCCTTGAGCTTGCCAGCGAAGCACTTTATTCCACTGAGCCATCACCCCGGCCCTTAAATTCATTAATTTTTTAAAATAGGTGATTCCATGTGTTTGGGAAAAGGTCTTAAAAGATAAAAAGACGTAAAACAGGGTACATTAAAAACAAAAACAAAGTGCTAGGGAGATAGCTCAGTAGAAGAAGCCCTTGCCTGGCAGGCGCAGGGTCCTGAGTTCAATCCCTGGTACCACAAGAAAAACAAAAACAGAAACAGAAACAAAAAACTACCCAAATTCTACTTCCTCGCTTAACTCCAGCGATCCTCCATGAGCTCTCTGGCTCACTCGTGAGCCCCTGCATGGCAGTTGTTTAGCATGATGGACCCCAGGGCCCAGGGCCCAGGCCTGCGATAGTTTGGGGGTCGGCATGACCTTGCGGAATGTAGATGTACGCAAGTTCTTCGTGCGCCTCTTAGATGTGAAAGGTTTACTAGTCTTACACAGAGGGAATAATAGCAAAAGGGAAATTACTAAACGCTTAAATGATTACAACAAAGGGTGTGCTATTATGTCACCTTTATTAACTATTACATTAGGCAATGATTAATATTCTATTAGGGGTATTATAACCAGATTATAGCAAAAGTAGCAAAAAAATTTTTTTTTGTCTTTTTGTAACAGGGTTTTGCTATGTAGTTCAGGCTGGCTTTGAGCTCACTTTGTAGCTCAGACTGGTCTTGAACTTGCTACAATCCTACTGCCTCATCCTCCCAGTGCTGGGAGTACAGGCATATACCATCCTGCCCCACTAAAAAATTCTTTTAATAAGTTTTACAGCAAAAGTACTTGGGGCTGTGAATGCACTGGGCCAAGGTCCACCTGCATCTTGCCCGTCGCCCCAGGTCCCCCCATCACAAGGCCCCGCGCTCTCACCTACCACCCAAGGTCCACCCCCATCGTGAGGCCCCGTTCTCTTGCCCGTCACCCGTCTTACTTGCTGATGTACTCGCCAGTGAGGACCTTCCCACAGGACTTGCATTTGAAGCAGCCCAGGTGCCACTGCTTGTCCAGCGCCAGCAGCGCCTGTCCATTCTTGATGTCTCGCCCGCAGCCAGCACAGTCTGGAAAAGAGTGGCAGGCAGCTGTTGCTACAGGTTCCCCTGCAGACTCCAGTCCCATCATACACCCTCCCGTACCGCCAATCACCAGGAACATCAGCACCACTTCATTCCATTTTCTGCCCCTGCACAGAACTTTTCCTGGCAAACCTCCTAGCACCCATCTTCACACAACATGGGGTCTGCTCTCACGGAGCCCCATGGCCCATGAGATAGATGTCCTTCACCTGTTGTGACTCTAAGAATGTGCTCCTCGGCCTTTGTTGATTGAGGATGCATGTGAACATCTGCAAGTCTCACTCAGCACAACGTACAAGATTCCTGGACCGCTGCCTGCAGGTCTCATCTTGCTAAGTGGGACTCTATTGGCTTAGCAACCTAAGCCAGGCTTTACAAAGATTTCTAATCATCAGTTAAATGGCTCTAATTCCTTTGCTTTAAATTGTCCTTCGTGGGCTCCCATAAAGCACAGAGGAGAAAGTATTTTCCTGGTGAATGGTGTGGGTGATGGAATCATCCTGGGCCTGTACCTGCTGCACTCCTGTCCTTTAACTGTGGGACCTAGGAGAGTCACCTGCCTGCTCCCAGCCTTGGGTTCCCCATAAGGGAGGTCAGTGAGACCCATGTCCAGCCGCTGGAGGAGTCAGTGGAGTAATGGATGTAGTGTAGCACAGGGCACTATGAATGTTTGCTATCGTAGTGCCATTGTTTGAGTAGTAAATGAGTCTTTCACAAGGGAAGTTGACTACATTTTTAAAATCCAGAAGAATGTCAACATATGCAAATTCTTTGGTAAGCAAGGGCATGCTCTAAAAACATTCAGAGTCTACATACCTAAAAAAAACAAAAGCTCAATCCTCAGTTCCGCAAAAACAAACAAAAAAACCAAAAGCAAGCGCTCCTAGGTGGCTTGCAGTGTTCTCTAGCTACAAGTGACAGAACAGCCCCCTCTTCTGACCACATCCATGGCTGCTCCTCCTACTACCGAAGACATTTGGAGCCCAGCTTTAATTCTCAACTGCCACAGAAACTGATGACACCTCAGGCTCCTCCTGCTCCTCCTCCTTAACCTCACTGATGGATCCCTGCTCCTGTGCCCTGGGGCCTCCCAGATGGGGCCCTGACACAATCCTCCCCCAAACTCTACCCAGAGAGGACTCCCTGTTTTCCACTTTTTCTCTCAGCTGCAGCTAGTTAAACAAGTCTGACCTTTTTTCCCCCAGCTGTTTCTCTGATGATCTTGGTTAGGGGCTGTGAATATTCTTTTAGACCTAGAAATTGCATGTGTGTGTGTGTGTCTGTGCGCGCGCACGTGTGCACGTGTGTGCACGCATGCACATGCGCACATACGCTCCTTGCAGTATTTTTCTGCAACAACAGGAACTGGAAATAACCATCTGGCTATCAGTAATGACCAGCTAACTTAATTATAGCACAGTCAATAATGGAATACTATTTGCTGTTAAAAGAGAATGAGGTAGGGTTGCGTGCAGACGTGGAAAGATGCCTGAAATAGATCAAGTGTGAAAAGCAAGCTGTAGAGCAGCATTCATGGCATAAGCTCATTCACAGAAAAATTGTAAAGTGTGTGTGTGTTTTGTATGCCCAGAACAGGAACATAAGAAATTCTCAAGAAACTTCCCCCTGTGGAGGAGGACTTCATTTTTTACTTCACATATTTTACGTTTGAATTCTTTGTAAACCATGAGCGTATAAAATTAAGTATTGAGTAACTATGTATGTATAAAGTTAAAAATATAAGCTTTATCACAGATTAGAATTTCCTAAAGTACAGCTTAGTACAAAGTACATATTACACGGTCACAAAGTACTAAGCATTTTTAAAAAAAGATTAAGGTGTGTACATAGCCTAACATCTCATCAGAAATATAAAGAAATCTTACATCTCACATTTGGCTGCAAAGGTCAAAATGCAAGCCCCTATTTGTTTAAAATATGATTTTAGGGATAGGAGCGCAGTACAGACAAGAGATGTGGTTTTGATTGATACATTGTTTTCAGTGCTTCTGTGAATTTTCAAAATTGTTCTTGTGGAATCATCTTCCTGCCCAATAGTTCTGTCAGGCAAAATCACTGACCACATAGGAGCTGAAGTCAGCGTTTTGGTGAACTTATGGGGACGTTGGTGAGCTTAGAGTTCTACTTTATATTCAAGAAGATGTTTTTTGTTAGCTCCCAAAGACAAGCTGAACTCTTCTCTGATCTAAAAGTGCACCTTCAGGGTAAGGAGTTAAGTGTCCAAAGAAAGGTTGCCAAAGTTGACGAGGGCAGAAGGAGCCCGCCTGGCACCGGAGCTCCGCCCATCTACAGCTGGGAGAAGCCATCCGAAAAAGTGTATTTCAGCAGTAGACCACACAGGCGGAGGCGGGGCCAGGGCCAGGACAGGTTGGGTTATTACAGTGCAGGCGACTGTACTTTAACCAGTGGTTGTTGGAGAGGGTGTTGGAGAACATGAAGTCTCTTCCCTTTTTAAAAACAAAATAAACTTGTAAAAATGTAAATTTTTTGTTCATTAAAAATTAGAGAAAATTCCACTGGCTGTAGCCACAAGGGGCCAGTTCCACTAAGAACTGAACACCAAGAACTCAAAATTTTGGAAACACGTAGGAAGAGAGAAAACTGGCTTTCCGTTCATTGGCAACTGTTCCCAAGGGGGTCTGTTCCTTTTCAGATGTGTTACGTTGTATGTACATGTGTACGAACCAGAGTCTACTGAGCTTTGTAACACTCAGAAAAGGGCTAGAGACATCTGGATTGTTATTAATTCATCTCAGTAAAAGAGCAGTAGAATTCAAAAACAAAACTAGAACTCAAAAACAAAACAAATAGATTGTTCTTAGGGCTGGTTTAGGGTCATAGCAAAATTGAGCAGATGGGTACTACAGTGGTGCATCTTTTTAATCACTGAGGAACAAACAGTAAAATGTCGTCACACCCAGAGCCCACAGATTACAATGGCGTTCAGTCTTGTCTAGACGAGCTGGCCATTCTGTGCATGGACAAGTCTACAATGACACCTATTCAGCACCGGAAGGCATCACTGCCCTGAACAACTCATGTCTGCCTATGCACCCCGCAACCTCTGGGAGCACTTTTTTTTTTTTTGTCTTCATAGTTGTGCTGTTTCTATGCTTAAATAGTTTTCAACCCAAAGTACATTGAAATTTTTCTGCCTTTCTCTTCAGATAATTCCCACTAGGTGGCAGCGAAGATTTAACTATTATGAAAGGTGTGGTACTAAAGAACCTTTTAAAGCAGAAAAAAAGGTTCAGAGGTGGCTTTGCAGTTCTGCAAATAAAGACTGCTGAGCTAAGACAAGCTGCCAGGGCTGCCCGAGGTCCTCTCTTTCATGAACAATGAGACCAGGGAGGTGGCTGGCTGGGGGGCGGGGGTGAGGGCACAAGGGCTTTGGGGTCATTGAGACTTGGGTAAGTTGCCCTCTCTCTCTTCTTCACCTATGAAATACCAAAGATAGTTGCTGTGTCAGTTGTTCTAAGACAGAAAAGAGACGCTGGCTCTAAGGTGCTTTCCTTCGCATAACGCAAGGTTGGGTGAGGCAAGAACTTCCTTAAGTTTCCCCTTCCTTGCCTAGAGGAAGAGCTAAGTTTCCAGACCAAGTTTCGGGATTCTCAGCTTTGCCCTCTCCCGAGCACCTCAGCATCCCCACATCGCAGAGGCACAAGACAGGAGCAGACACATGTGCAGACACGGGCCCCTCACATCATCTGCTCTGAGGCTGCATCAGCGGGGCTCACGCACACAGCACCACTGCGTCTTCAGAATCGCGCCATCAAGGTGCCCTGCAGCCTGGAGACCCCTCTAACCACAGGTGCCTTCTACAGCACTCTGACACTCAGTGTCCCCCCAGCGCTTCATAGAGGGAAGGAACTTTAATGGGAAATGCTGAATGCCCAAGCTGAATGCTTAGGGCCAGCTGGCTGGGAGTCGAGGAGGCTGGAGTGAAACTTCCTTTGTCCCAAACCTCATACAAAAATCAAATTAACAAAAGCAGCCTCAGGTGTTCTGGTATATTCCCCACAGCCATCATTCTTCTCTAGACAAAGCCATGTGTGTCACCTGAGCCTGCTGCTGTGCAGCGGAGAACGAGAAAGATGCTGGAAGCCGAGATCTGTGCTGGGAGGTTGTCCCTTCCTGGCTTGCCCCAACTAAGCTCTTTTAGACAGAACAAAATGGCCTAGTTTCCGTCTTCATGTTTTTCAGCTGTTGAGAAAATTGTTTCCACATCACTGAAGCAACTGCTGATAAATATAGAAAGCTGGTGATTGGCACTGGAATTACCATCAAAGCAGAAATAGGTGAATATGGAGTGGCATCAAAGGCATAAAACCCATTAGCAACTTGCTAGGGTTCTACCAAGGAGAAATAATGGCCTAATGTGAAAAACAAAGCGAACCCTTTGTCCCAGACCCTTTACTCCTGGAGCAAAGAAGGGATTTGGATACTCACATCCAAGGTATCAACATTCACACCTGGTTCCATACTTATGTCATTTTGCTCAAGGGCAATAAATACCTACAGCAAGAGGGGTCCTACGTGCCTCCTAAGGTCTAGCCAATTCTTTGTGGTGTGGGGAGACAGGGAAACCTACCTGAGGAAGTATTTAAGTGGAAGGGAGGGACATATGGTTTGGGAAGGAAGCCGAAGAGGGATGTCGTCTCTTGGGCCGCATTTCAGGCTGGATGTCTACAGTCTCCTTGAATGGTTTTTCTGTCTTCTTAGGTTTTTTAAAATTTAATATTCTACAAATGTAAGGGCCCAAATCTTTCTGAGAAACCGGGCTGAGGAGATAGAGGCATAGGGAAGAAAACGGCATGGTGTCTAAATTCCCACTGCTCCACCCTTCCCAGGTCTTCCTTCTTCAGACATAGGTCCCAAAGCACTCCTGACAGGCAGAAACTACTACTTAGAGCAGGTATGCATCTAGGATCTGAGATTCCAGAACGTGGAATTAGGTTATTCCT